TTGAGGACATCAGGGGACAGGGAGGACATTGGGGACAGGGAGGGGACGGGGAGGACATTGAGGACATCAAGGGACACGGAGGGAACAGGGACAGGTCCTGCTGGGCCCCCCCCGATGCTGAGGTGTGTCCCCTGTCCCATGTCCCATGTCCCACCCCACAGGGGGGTTACAAGGGGGCCGAGCCCGAGGTGTCCCTCACCGCCTTCGTCCTCGTGGCGCTGGAGGAGGCCCGGGAGATCTGCAAGGACCACGTGAACGTGAGTGACCCCCTCAGGTGACCCTCCCCGGCCCCCCCCCCCACACCTGGTCGGGGCCACCTGAGGACCCCAACCGTGTGTCCCCCCTGCCCAGAACCTGGACTGGAGCATCAACAAGGCCGCCGAGTTCCTGGGCCGGCGCTACGAGCAGCTGGCCCGGCCCTACACGGTGGCCCTGAGCTCCTACGCGCTGGCCCTGGCCGGCAAGCTCAAGAGCGAGAAGGTCCTCATGAAGTTCTCCAAAGGTGACGCCTCCATTTGGGCCCTTCAGGAGTCAAATTTAGGGCAGAGGAAGGTGTTTGTGGGGTCCCAGGGATGGGAGGAGGTGGTTCTGGGGCCCTGGGGTGTGGTGGAGGTGGTTTTGGGGTACTTGGGGCGGTTCTGGGGTCCCTGGTGAAACTCAAGAGTGAGAAGGTCCTCATGAAGTTCTCCAAAGGTGATGTCTCAATTCAGGCCCTTCGGGAGCCAAATTTGGGGTGGTGGGAGGTGTTTGTGGGGTCCCTGGTGCTGGAGAGGTTTTTTGGGGGTCCCTGGTGCCAGGGAGGTGTTTTTGGGGTCCCTGGCTATGGGGAGGTGTTTATGGGTTCCCTGGCTATGGGCAGGGTGTTTTTGAGGTCCCAGGCATCTGAGAGATGTTTTTGGGTTCCTTGGCTGTGGGGAGGTGTTTTGGGGGTCCCTGGCCCCAGGGAGGTTTTTTGGGGGTCCCTGGTGCCAGGGAGGTGGTTTTGGGATCCCTGGTGCTGGAGAGGTGTTTGTGGCGTCCCTGACACTGGTGAGGTGTTTGTGGGGTCCCTGGCGCCAGGGAGGTGTTTTTGGGGTCCCTGATGTGGGAGGAGGTTTTTGTGGAGTCCCTGGCACTGGGGAGGTGTTTTTGGGGTCCCTGGTGCGAGGGAAATATTTTTGGGGTCCCTGGTGCTGGAGAGGCGTTTATGGGGCCCCTGGTGCTGGGGGGCGGTTGTTTTTTGGGGTCCCTGGCACTGGTGAGGTGTTTGTGGGGTCCCAGGCATCAGGGAGGTGTTTTTGGGGTCCCTGATGTGGGAGGAGGTTTTTGTGGGGTCCCTGGCACTGGGGAGGTGTTTTTGGGGTCCCCGGTGTGGAAGAAGATGGTTCTGGGATCCCTGGTGCCAGGGAGGTGTTTTTGGGGTCCCTGGCTTCGGAGAGATGGTTTTGGGTTCCCCGGCTATGGGGAGGTGTTTTTGGGGTCCCTGGCGCCGGGGAGGTGCTGAGGGCCCCCCGTCCCCCCCAGGTGGGCAGAGCTGGGAGGAGCGGAACGCCCGGACCTACAACATCGAGGGCACGTCCTACGCGCTGCTGGCCCTGCTGCACATGAAGAAGCCGGAGCTGGCGGGGCCCGTGGTGCGCTGGCTCGCCCAGCAGAACTACTTCGGGGGCGGCTACGGCTCCACCCAGGTGGGCTACGGACCCCCCCGGCACCCGGGGGCGGTTCTGGGGTCCCTGGTGAAGCTCCGAGGTGGAGTCTCAGAATTGGGGTCAGGAAGGGGGATCTGGGGTCCCTGGTGAAGCTCTGAGGTGGAGTCTCACCTGGGGCTCAGAATTGGGGTTGGGGAAGGATTTCTGGGGTCCCTGGTGAAGCTCCGAGATGGAGTCTCACCTGGGGTTCAGAATTGGGGTTGGGGAGGGATTTCTGGGGTCCCTGATGAAGCTCCGAGGTGGAGTCTCACCTGGGGCTCAGAATTGGGGTTGGGGGAAGCAGTTCTGGGGTCCCTGGTGAAGCTCTGAGGTGGAGTCTCACCTGGGGCTCGGGGTTGGGGAGGGATTTCTGGGGTCCCTGGTGAAGCTCCAAGGTGGAGTCTCACCTGGGACTCAGAACTGGGGTCGGGGGAGGCAGTTCTGGGGTCCCTGGTGAAGCTCAACAGGGTCCTCGTGAGGTTCCCCAAAGGTGGCACCCAGGGACACATCCTGACCTTGTGGCTCCTGGGGGACACTCCTGGTCCCTGTGATCCTTTGGGGACACCTCCTGTCCCTGGGGACACATTCTATCCCTGTAGCCCCTTGGGGACACTCCTGGTCCTTTGGCCCCTTGGGGACACATCCTGTCCCTGGGGACACCTCCTGTCCTTGTGGCCTCTTGGGGACACCTCCTGTTCCTGGGGACACCTCCAGACCCTGTGATCCTTTGGGGACACATCCTGTCCTTGTGGCCCCTTGGGGACATCTCTAGACTCTGGGGACCCTCAGAGACACTTCTGGACCATGTGATCCCTTGGGGACACCTCCTGTCCCTGGGGACACCTCCTGTCCTTGTGGCCCCTTGGGGACACCTTCTGTTCCTGGGGACACCTCCAGACCCTGTGATCCTTTGGGGACACATCCTGTTCCTGTGGCACCTTGGGGACACCTCCTGTCCCTGGGGACACCTCTTGTCCCTGTGGC